TACAAAATCACCAGGTGTTGATAATCTGATGTTCACAAAATCAGATATACTGTATTTCAAATGTTTTATTACATTAAATATTGAACTAGACAATTATTACTTCAACTTTCTACCTTACCCCATTCTAGACGTATTTTTGGAAGATAAGCCAGAACCATGTCGTGATATACAACAGTAATCATGTCCAAACAGAAAAAAAAATAATTTACACTTGACGTGGTCTGTAAATTTCTGCAAAATTTAAAAAGGTTGTAAATATGAGGCTGCAAAATTGTCATAAAAGTGGCTGCATCTTCCATGGCAAAAACCACCACAAAGGGAACAATTTTTATCAATAGTTATTTCATAAAATTCAAGTCTTCAGGACCAAGCCCAAAGAATTAAAGAAAGTTATGTTCATATGGTTCTTCATTCTCAAGAACCACATCTGTATATGTGGATGAAAACTAAACTTCCCATGTAATCAGGACAAGTTTACAACGCATTACTACTACATTAATGTTCAGTTGTCAGCAGACTGGAAATAGGTGTAATTAATTTTGGAAGTACATAGCAGAGCTACAAATGTTTATCATTACTGTATTCAAATTTTTCACTTATTTCAGCGACAAAAAATCCAAATTCATGAGAGCTAAGTAAATGGTTTGTAACTTCTTTATGTCAATGGAATCCAGTTTTGTATTTACACACTAGAAGCAAAATGTGACCCATTAGCTGTAAGTTAAATAGTTAATTTGGTAACAATTTAATTACAAACTTCATTACTTTATTTCTTTATATATTCAATTAACTAGATGGTTCCTAGGACTTAAATGTGCCTCTTTTTGTTTCCTGTTCAGTGTTTTAAGAATAAACAATTTTTCTAAAGCATAACTGTGCTTAGCATTTCTGGAGTATTATCATACTGCTAGGTACTCTGAAATGTAGCTGAATAATAATAAAAAAAAGCAGCATATAAATTGTAAAGATTTGTCATATATATATTAGAATAGTATTTATGCATAGATGGATAAACACAAATATGTAAGACTGTATCGCTGGGCTGCAAGGAGATCCATGTGCTCTCATTTCACCAGAGCACATTACAAAGATTCTTAGAAGGATTGGGAAATGATGTAAATGAACTAGTATGGCCGCCCTGTTCAGAGTGCTGCTATCCTGCCCACTCCTTCCACAGAGAAGACTCACTCATCTACTCCTCCATCCTCTTGTCATTCCTTAGCTTGAGGTTCTGCATTTTCCAGAGTAAATAAATGCTGCAGAAAGGAGGTACAAGTTCCCTACATCAAATAATCAATAGAAATGTGAAGACCATTTGAAGGTTGACAGCTATGGAATTGTGTCTGCCACTCACTCTGCCTTCCCTCCTCCATTTTTTCTTGTTAAAAGCATTTTCAGTTGCATGTAAGAAAACTGGAGATTTTGGCCCTCTTCTCTAGAGGCCAGTTTGGAGATGCTAGATTTCAGCATGCCAGTCTTTAACTCAATAAAAGGCTACTCAGGTTCCCTGGAGACACTGAACAATATAAAGAACCTGCCCTCTAAAAATGAAGGAGCTCTGGTTTACCCTGTCCTTCAGGATGCAATGCCTTAATGGACTCTGCCCCTGGAGAGGTAACCATATGCATTAAGCAGACTATAAAGTTTCTGTAAGAAACTTTGCTCACACATATTAGCTCCAGCTAAATAAAAGTCTAAACAACCTACAGAACCAAGATGTTACCTTCATATTTTACCAACAAACATGATTAGCTATTCCACCCTTTCCAGGTAGACATTCTAAATTGTGTTTCCATGGGTCAGAAGCTCAATTTTTAATATTTTACCATTAGTCTTGTTATATTATTTCAAGAAATTATTATGTGACACAAGAAAAGATACCACCACATCTGTTTTCCTAAAAGGAATACTTCTAAGAATTAGTTATAAACTTTCTAAAAAACTGAAACATAGGAAAGCAGTCACAAGTTAAATACTGCAGTATGCAGAATCAATTGAACAGGTTTTTGTAACCTTAAGTGACCACCAGAATAATGGGAGGTAAATACAGAGAAAAAAAAAAAATATATGTGAGAATTTGGGCTCTAGAAGTATGAAAAGTGGAAGCTGCATTTGTATCAGACTTTTACCTGATGGCAGGACTGACATAGCATCTGGTGTTTCAAGTACTGTGTAAGAATGTCTAGAAATTACATGGTCTATCTTCTGAGATTGTTCAGTTGAAATTCAGGTCATTTTATCAGCTAGGAGTCAAGTGTGTAATACAGACAAGAGGGGAGGGGGGAGGGGAGGGGGGGAGGGGAAGGGAAGGGAAGGGAAGGGAAGGGAAGGGAAGGGAAGGGAAGGGAAGGAAGAAGGAAGGGAAGGGGAAGGGGAAGGGGAAGGGAAGACATTAAATTAAGACATTTAATTAAGGACATTAAATTGGCATGATATGGAAAAAATACTAAAAAAAAAAAAAACAACAAAAGAAAGTGCAAATAATATTTCTTTTACTTCTTAAGAATAATTGTTCTATATTATCACAGTCCATGTTTTCATTGCAGTAGTTACATTAAGAAATTAGGGTTCTTCTCCATCTTTTTTCCTCTTTTATCACAGAATTTCATGCACTTTTGAAATAAAATGTGAGGCCATATGACTGATCCAAGAAACTCAATATGACTTGTCAAATGACTAAACAAAAAATCAGAGGGTAAAAAAATCATTCTAATAACCATCCTAAACCAGTCTGATAACCAACCTCAACCAAGCTAAAAAAAATTTCTGGATTCTTGAAATAGGGATTTTTTTTCCTTCTTATACTTTTACCCCTTTGGTCAGAACTAACTCAGCAGATCATCACGCAAAAGGTTTCACTGATGTTGCTAACAAAGATGACATATAAATGTTTGTTTTTTTTCTTGAAACAAGTTATCCTGTTTTCAATCACAGGCACATCTCCCTTTGCCAAGTCATATTCCCATCTACTTTTTCTTACTATAAATTTCCACGGATGATATATCATTGTAGCCACTGAGTGGGAAATCCTAATTCCATTAAAGTCCTCATTCACAAATAGCCATTTCAGGTGTATTTCAGGATCATTATGGATTAAAGAGTATGATTTTGAAATCTGTATTGCTTAAGGATTTATCTTCAAGAATGCACTTTCTAAAGGTAACTGATGCCATTTAATTTTTTTTTTCCAACAATGGAATGGATAATGTATTTTTTCTACTGAAGATGCAAAATTGAAGAAATTTAAATTAACTGTCTGATTTTAGGGTAGACCATTAGAAAACTTCTTCCTTAACAGTTATTAAGTGCAGGTAGAAAACATGGAAGCAGCAGTACTGCCGGCCTCAGAAATGGCAGCATCAGAACGCAAGCACAAACAGACTGCAGAGGTATTTCTGTCAGCCATTTCTTTCAACTCCAAGCTATTCCTGCTCATTTACTCATTTGTGGATGCTGCCTCTTTGTGGCAGAATGCCATGTAAAATGTACCTTTCACATTAAGGACCTAATCCCACATTTGTACTGACACCTACACAAAATCCTGTTTATGAGCTTTGAATCACACAGAAAAAACACATATACACATGAAGAGACACACAGTTTCCAGGACCCTCTCAGTCATTAGAGTTAGCCTTTCTCTTAGTGAATGACAAAGGTAGTGAGGCGGAAAATGTTCCTACTCCTATCCATTTAACAACAAAATTCTTCTACTGGGTTTAAATGGAAGGAGAACCAGGACACTAGTTTCAGCAATAGTTATAAGGTGGAAAGTCCAAATTAGGGTTTCAAAACTGCACCTCAGACAGCAACACTCACATCTTGCTAGTGTCAATGGTAAGTCTCCAGGAGATCTAGAGCAGTGCATAGAACAACCATATGCTGTAATTCTGTGACAAAAGAACACACCTCATATGTGCATTTCAAACTGAAATAACACTCCACTTACTAAACTGTCCAAGCTAAATACAATCATACTTGTCTTTTCTTTTTGTTTTGTTTTACTTTTGCTTTTGCTCAGTGTGGGTGGCATAGAGAGAAGAACACATGCCAGCAAAAGATTTATCTTCAATTCCAACAGACTAGTTATATAGCTTTGTTTTTGTAGAAAGTATGACAGATTGTACAAGGATAGGGAAAGCAGAAGAGAACAGAGCCCTTTTGCAATAAAAAATATACTAGTGAGCAACTCTGCAAATAATACCAAACATGATAATTTCTTCTAATGAAGAAAGACAAAGCCACACGTGAAGTATCACTTATCCTGATCCATATCTCAAAGAACACTTCAGTAAGGAAACAAAATGTAAGTATAAAACTATCCTATTCAGTATGTTGGTGAAACACATACCCCTGTGTTGCTCTTTGACCCATCTACTGTATGCTGGTAAAATTACCGTATGTCATGTTTTGAAAATACAGAACACATTATGCTTTGCCTGAAAATGTTACAACTTTCTGATGAGATGTATCACTAGTAAAGAGAATCCAACATACAAACAGTTGATTTTGGCAAGAAATTTTAAACTTAGGATACTCATTACTTCATGATCTTACATTTGAAATATTTATCAAGTGTTTATTCAGAAACTATTAAAAATCACATGTGCTGGGATACATATGACACATCAGCTGTCCCATCTTACAGTGATGCTGTGTTTATGAATATCCTTGCCATTGCCTGCTGCCCAAAGGGGTAAAGTATAATGTGTACAGTCCATCATTTGGTCTTTCAGGATGCCAGTAAACACGTGGATCTGTACAAGTGCAATTATACTTGACTAAGCAATCAGAAACTGGCTACAACAGTTATAAAATCAGTATATTTTGGTTAACTAATAAAAATTTAAAAAAAAGACAAGTCAAGAACTGACAAATCAAAAATTAAACACACTTTTTTCCTGCTAAAATGAATGCCTTCTACATGTCCCTTACTAGTTTGCCCAACCAGATGCCTGAGCACAGGGTGTTAAAAGGTGTGTTTTTAAATAAACTTTTTTTTTTTTTCTGTTGTGATCAGATTTTATGTCTTGGATTGTCTGTTAAGATTCGGTCATAATTAGCATTATTTGTAATGATTTAAAACGTCCTTCTGAAACGGTATCAGCTTTGGGAAAAAAAGCTCTCAATGTAGTGCAAAACTTTAAAGCAATACACAGACTCTGGACCCCATCCTGAAAAAAGAGGAAACACTTAAATGTCCCAGTAGTTTTAGTTGTAAGAATAGCTCTGTATCTTCTATCCTGATCTTTTGGGCATGTGACTAACTTTGCTCAATGAGTGAGTCTATGAGACTATACCCATTGGTAGAGTTTTTCGTATGTTTAAGTGCTTGCAGGATGAAGGCCTAAACTTGGGCTTCTTTCACAAGTAGACATACTCAAATGAGTAAGAATTTGCAGGACTAGGCCCTAAAATAGTGAAGAGAAATGCTAATGTACATATAAAAATAGGTGCTACAATAAAATATTTTTTATATTTCATCAATAAGTTATTTTCACTAACCAGTTATGGATCATATATCTCTGCACTTTAATGATTTGCCCACATCTACAGTGATCCTTTTAAAGATCATAATATATTTTAATTCAAAAGTCCAGAAAGTATACAAACACATCCTTAAAAAAAGGAAACCTTGTATTAAAGTTGGGGTGTGCTAATATCTCCATAAAAGCCATTTAGACTCGCCCATGGATAAAAGGGGAAAATGTGCGCTGCACTCTTCAACCAGAAAAAAAAACAAAATTAAACAATGTCTGTACAAAAACCTAAAGTGACCATGACTTTCATACTTGTAACCTGAATATGACCTGACAAGACCCTCCTGCCACCTTCCCCCAAGCATGCATGGATACACACACAATGGCAGTGCTGTGCCCAATGTATACAATAGGTGGTTTCTTACTTCCAAACACACTACAAACTGAGAAAAGGGAAAAAAAAAAAAAAACACAACTGAAAATAAACAGCACACCCTTTCATATTCATTCCCCAAAGCTGAAAAATCCTGTGCCAAGGCACTTCACCCTACAATAAAATGAATTAAAGGGGGGAAACAGGAGGTGGGCGAGGTGGGGGGAGGTCAGCATTTACGTTTCTTTGTTTTGCGTGTGGTTGTTAAATACAAATACTCTAGAGAAGGAGCTGCTGTGGCTGGCGGGAGGATCGGAGGGCAGAAGGGGGAGGGGGGCTGTTTCTCAGAACTGGCTGAATGTGGTCTGTTTTTCCAGCACTTCGAGGTAGTCCGGCTCTGCATTTAGTTTTGCTTTTAGCTCCAGGTACTCGTTCCTGTTGGGCTCTACATAGACAGTACTCGGGGGGGTGTAGAGCACCGTCTCCCGGAGCCTGCCGTCCCCCGGGCCCGGGTGCAAGTACTGTGGGGCACGCCTAAGGTCATAGTTGGGGGAGTAGGTGTATGCAGCGGGGAGTTTGGGGTAGTCGGGGAGGGTGGACCCGGCTGTCCCCAGCGTGGAGGACGAGGAGTGCTTGTCGGGCTCCAAAATGCCCCTGTAAAAGCGGTCGGCGTCTTGTACCGGGGACAGCAGCTCCTCCCGCGGCTCGATGGTGCTCACGCTGTACGCGGGGCTGCGCACCGGCGCGTCCTCCCCGCCGGGCGCTGCCGGCGGCGGGGGGCCTGGAGGAGACGGGGCACCCCCGCCGGGCTGCAGAGGGTGGCTGCTGTAGGTGACCTTGAGCTCGTGGAGGTCTTTGTAATCCTCGCCCGCGTTACCCTCCCGGGAGCGGTAGATGGGGTTTTTGCACATGTGGCCCAGGGGGTGCGGGATGTACTCGTAGACGTGCCCAGCGGGGGTCTTAACTTTGGGCAGCGCCGCGCCCCCCCCGCCGGCTCCGCCGCCGCGGTGGGACGGATGCTGCTGGAGGTGGGGATGGTGGTGGTGCTGGTGGCCGCCGCTGTAGACGCTGTACTGCATGTTGAACGAGCTCACGTCGGAGTTGTTGGTGCTGGCGTGGTCGCCCTGGCCCTTCTTGCGCCGTTTCATCACCAGGACGAAGAGCCCCGCTGCCACGAAGACGGACATGATAAAGACCAGCAGCAGACTGAGGATCAGCACCGAGAGCGGCACCGAGGAGCTGCCGCCGCCAGCGCCGCCCGCGGGCGCGGAGCCACCCGCCGCCGCCGTGCCGTTGAGACGCACGGTGGAGGAGGACGGGGTGGTCCTGGCCGGCAGCTGGCCCGGGGAGGGCGTCGGGGTGGAGACGACAATGTCGGAGTAGTCAGGGCAGAGCAGCTCAGCCCGGACAGCCCGCATGTCGCTCTGGGCAAACTTCTTCGGGGACTCGCAGATGACCTGGTCCACCAGGACACCAGTGTTGAGCTGCTCCAGCCACAACTTCATGCCCACCACATCGCAGGTGCAGTCCCAGGGGTTCTCGTGAAGGTCTATCTGCAGCAGGGATTTCAGCTGGTCCAGCACCCCACTCACGGGCAGGTAGGAGAAGTGGTTGCTCCGCAGGCTCAGCCTGTAGAGAGACAGACCAGAAAAAATGTTCCCTGGCAAAGACCTCAGCAGGTTGTTGTTCAAAAACAAGAGCTGAAGGTTGGGGACAGATTGGAAGGTGCCCGCCTCTATCTCCCGGATGACGTTGTACTGCAGGAAGAGGTACTGCAGGCTTTGCAGCCCATAGAACAGCTCTGGGCTCAGATGCTCAATCCGGTTCCCATTCAGATACAGCCTTCTCAAATTAGTTAAATCCCCAAAAGCCCGGTCCTGAATGACCGAGATACGATTATTGCCCAAATGCAGCAAATCTAGCCCAGTGGCATCCACAAAATCTGCCCTGCGTACCAGCGCAATGTAGTTTTCCGTCAAATACATCTTCTTAGGATTATAGGGTTTGGGCTGCAGTTCAGAAATGCTCTCTATCTTTCTCTCCTGACAATTGACATTGAGGCCCAGGTCAGAAATCTGCAAGTTGCAAGTGCAGGCGGTGGGGCACTCCAAAGGCACCGGGGATTTGGTCTGGTAGGCAATGCTGGGGCCATAGTTGCTGTATCCCAGGTCTTTTGAGGGCAGGCGTGAGGTGGGGCGCACCCTCGTCTTGTTGGGTTGGCGGGTGCCTTTGGGGGGCTTCAAAGGGGATTTGTAAACAGCTGAAGAAGAAGTGGCCACGGAGTTGACCGAGGCCGGGGTAGTGTGGAAATACCCTGTAGTGCTCAATGGTGTCTGCGGTCGCATTTCATAATCTGAAATGAGCCTCCTGGGGCAAAGCTCCTGCTTGGAAACTTCATCCAAGTCTCGACCATGTAAGCGGAAAGGAGTCTCACAAACCACATCTCCCACCAGAGCGGAGTAGGAGATACTGTCCAGCCAATCCTTTAGAGAAATCAATTCGCAAGAGCAATTCCAGGGGTTTTCCTCCAGCTGCAGCTCCACCACTTTATCCATGTGCTGCAAAAGGCCCACATAGGGCAACAGCTTCAGCCGGTTACCCCTCAGGTCCAGGTGAGTTAAGGGCACAAAACGGAAAAGGTTGTTGGGCAAACTGGAGAGGAGGTTATCATTGAGAATCAGCACCTGCAGCAAATGCAGTTTGCTGAAGGCATTGGGTTCAATGACACTAATGTAATTGTAATCGACCTGTAGGTATTCCAAACTCTCTAGCCCAAGGAAAGTGTCATCCCGTAAAAGTTCCAGCTTGTTGTTGTTCAGGTGCAGCCTCCTTAAGCCTCTCAGACCATGAAAGGCCCCAGTTTCGATGTCTTGTATGTCATTGCTCCCGAGATGCAAAATTGAAGCCCCTGTGTAATTGACAAACTGGTTCGGGTACAGCCTGTTCAAAAGGTTCCCGGACAACAAGAGGTGGTAGACAGGGAACCTTGGTGGACTGATCTCAAAAAGGCTGATGATCCCTCGGTTTTCACAGCTCACCGTTAAGATGCTGTCCTTCTCCTCACAAGGACAAGCATTATCACAGATTTCCCCATAATATTCGATGCTTTCTGCCCATGAAAGGACTAGCGATGTTAAAGCAAACGCGATCGTCTGCAGCATCCAGATATGCATTTTTTTTTGTTGAGGTCCTGTTCTAAAGTTACTGTAGAACAGCAAGCGTACATTTTATTCCCTGTAGGATAAGGAGAAAAAAAGAAAGAAGCATAATAGCACAGCCCCATAAAATTTAAAATGGAGACATAGTTTATGTATATCTTCACTAGGGTAGAGAATGCAGAATTGTTAAGCAAAGAAAAAAAAAAACCAAACAACTGTCACTTCTAATTCCCACACTTTCAAAAACTGGATGACATGCATTGATTAAAAGGTTGATGGGCAACTCCTAGCCAGTCAAATGCCTGTGGTGCTTAAAAAGGTAAGGTCAAAGCAGGAATTATCCTATTTCTGTTCATGTGGGGTGCATTTCAATGCTTCCTTGGATTTCTTCTTCATGACCAGCCCCATAAATATACATAAAATGGCTGTCAGTTCAGTTTCACGGTTCTAATTTAAGAGAATAAGAAGCACCATTTTACGAGGTTTCCCACCTCCCCTGTTACCCGACTCCCCCTTCCCTTCAGAACCTCTCTGGTGAACAGCGCACCAAGGTCTTCCCCTCCTTCCACCTCGGTTTTTAACTGGTGGTGGAAATGCCATGGTAAGAATTCCGAGAAAAACACTCAGTGCTGAAAACGGCAGCTTAATTCAACAGAGAGCACACTGACACATTCCCCACATCACACATTCCTTAAAACTCTTCTATGCCTTCCCCCCCCATCTCTACATTTACAAAGCACACACCCACCCACACAGACATGCACACACACACGCCCCCCCCCCACCTTACTTTTGTGGAGGAATGCTTCAGTAATGAGATTAAACACGTTAACCTCCTACTTCAGTGCACTTAACAGTTCACTTTGCCAAGAGAAATTCTGTATCTTCTCACAGTAATTTTAATTGATTTTATGATACATACCACCCCCCATGAGTTATGCACAATAAAACAGAGCTGACCACCAAGGAGAGGTCTTCGGTTCTTACACACACATACATACACACAGAAAGACACACAGACTTAAAGGAAATGTTTTAACCACTCACCCAAAATTTGTGAGAAATGTAAAACACACGGATCATCTTCATAGTCTCAGCCATATCTGACATAGCGCTTATTCCCAACGTTCTGCAAAACTAGCCTTGTAGAAGTGGAGAGATCTAAATAGGTCTCATGGAAATGTCTCATCGCCAACACTCCAAGCATCAGAGTTACTGATTATAAGCAGCAATGACTGTCAGTACTCTTCATCCTTTAGGGGAGAAGACACCCAGGCTGATTAAATGCCAAGGAGAGGTGGAAGGGAAACCCTACCATTGACCTACGTCAGTAATTTAATACCCAGATTTCACCTAGCTGCAAACAAATCCCATTTCCATTCCTTCTTTCAGTCTTTCTGACTCCTTGTGGCTTTCTTCTACTAGCCTAAAAGCAGTATGACTAGGGAAAATAAAAGCACTGTGTGTCTCAGTAGGGGAAGACTAATAAACCATCCAGGCTTAAATGCTGGGATATTGGAGCAAGCTTGTATTTTCTACTGTCCACCTCAGAGCTCCGATCCTCATGACACAACTCTGCTTTGGAGGAATGCATCCAAAATCCCGGGAAGTCTCAGTACTGCAAGACATCTCCTGTGGCATCAGGTTCAAGGCTGCAAACCTAGCACTTGCAGCAAAGGCAGTCATGCAGCAAGAAATCAGAAGTCTGTGAATCTCTCTCTGATTCTGACCAGACGTCAACTGGATCGGAATTACTCAAAGCAAAAGGCTTCACTGCATGAAGGCAGCAGAAATATCACTCAAAGGCATGTATCTAGCATATTCTCTCTCAGCTTGATCAGATCCATTCATCCATTAACCAACACTTCTTCGGAGGAAAAAAAAAAAGCCTTTGAAAACCTGCCTGGTCAATGTTCAACTCCCAGGCATTTTACAACTTTAATTCAGTTATGGTTAGTAAAGGAGGCAAATACAGTATTCCCTCTGTCCTCCTTTCTCCCTTCCCCTGAAAAAAAAAGGAGGGTGGGGGAGGTAAAGAAAATAAAGTTGTAGCTGGCTGTATGCAAGGTTGCAATCCCGCCCTGGAAACCCTCTGTGATGACTGCGTGCTGCTGTTCGCCAGCTCCCTACAGAGGTTCGGATTGGGGGGGGAAGGGAAGATGGGGGGGTGACGGGGGAGGGGAGAAAAGGAAAGGGGTTGCTTGCATCGGGATTTTTCTTGTGTGTGGGTTGTTGTTTTTTTTTTTTTTCCCCCGAAGAGTTCAACCCTTAGATTACCGCACTGCATATTCGGCTCGAAGCAGCTTTCAATACAAACGACAGCAGCAGTAGCAGCCCCAGCCGGGCATCGCCGCCCCACCGAGCAGCACCCAGAGTTAGGAGAAACGGATTGGGGAGGGGGGGGAACAGGGACGTGGATGGAGGAGGGTTTGGGGGTGAAAAGCAACAGCCAAGGAAGACCGGTGGGGGGGGGGGGAGGGGGGTAGTAAGAGAAGCGGAGAAAGAGAGCGCGAGAAAAGTAAGCCCCGGTACTTACTTCGCCCGAAATCCCCAGGGCCCAAGCATGGTGGCAGCCCATAAAGATGCCTCCCCGCTGCGCGGGCGCTCCGCGGAGCCGCCGGGGCGGCGGCGGGTATATGGCAGCAACCGGGAGCGCGGTGAGGAGCGCGCAAACACCCCCCGCACTCGGGCGGCGCTGAAACACCAGCGCTCGCACAGGGGCGCACACAAACACACACACACACACACACACACGCGCACACGCGCACACGCGCACACGCACACACGCACGGGAGCGCGCACACGCTCGCGATCTCACACTCACACACGCGCGGGAGCGCGCCCGCCTGCACGGGCAGCCGCGGGGGGCGTGCGCCCCCACCGCACTCCGGCACGCGCCCGCACGGCGGGGGGATGGTGGGGGGAGGATGGGGGGAGGAGACAGGCCAGCGAAGCGTCGCGATCAAACCGCAGTCGCTGAGCGCAGCGGGGAGGATGGGGGGGGAAGAGAGCAGTGGGAGGGGAGCGAGGGCGGGGCGACGGCGCTTTGCGGGGGGCTGAGCGGGGCGGGGGGTGCTGAAAAGAGAGGGGCGGGAGAAGGAACGGGAGTGTGGGGGAGCCGCGGGGAAGGGCGGCCGTTCGAGGCGGTGCGGAGGGCAGCCGGCTCCGCTCGGCGCCGCGCATCGGTACGCGCGGTCACGGACACGCCAGGCACGCACATGCCGATACTATCGCTGCTCCTCCCGTGGTTTGCTCGCACTTTGCCCGGCACGGGCCAACTTTCCCCGGACGCTGGCCCCGTTCCCCCCCGCAGCCCTGCCCCGGGCTGTATTCCCGGCAGCCCGAGGTAGGGAGCTGGCGGCAGCGCCGCCTGCCCCATGCTCGCCCTGCAGCGCTCGCTGCCTGTGGCTGAGCGGCACGGAGCGGGTGGGGGGAGCCGGCGCTGCTGAGCGTGCGGGAGCCTCGGCTGCACCCGCGAAAACCGTGGGTAATTGCGTGGTCGCGGTGAAAGGAAACGGCGGGTTTCGTTGCACGCATCCCGCGAAAGCGGGGTTCCGGCTGTGCGTCGGGTTCGTTTAGCTTGTCCTTCCCCCTCTGCGCACTCTAGCCACGGGGCATAGGGGGGCGTGGTGGCGACTCTGCCGACGTCCCCCGTTCCCCTCCCCGGGGAGGCCGCGGGCTGCCGCTGCGGGGCGGTGAAAGGCGATGCTATGCCGCCCGGCGCCGCCAGGTGGCAGCGCAGGGCGGCGGGTGAGACGCGCGGGCGAGAGCGGGGCGGCCCCGCGGGAGTGGACAGGCCAGCATCGGGGGGTGCGGCGTTCCGGAGAGCGTCGAAGACAGGGAGCGAGGAAGTAGGCGACGCTTTCCTGGCTGTGCTGTCTTCGTTGGTTTATGGGAGAGCTACCGTTATTCTGGTGGTGTGCAGAACACGGAGGTTTTTCTGTGCGAAGCTGGCTGTAGCCGCGGTGATGTGTGATGTGATTTACGTTTACCTTTAGGTGTTTTAGTTTCCTCTGATCTTCAAAAGTAGAAAAGGTAATTTAATTGCATACACTCAGAGATGCGTATATGCTCGTATTTGTGTATTCATTATTGTTCTGCGCTGCGTATGTTTTAGTAGGTAAATCAAGTAGATGTTATGCATGCAGTAACACAAAGTACATCCCATGTGAACAGCGCATGGAATCTCGCTTTAGCTCAAAGGTAATGCTAGACGTAGTTGTGCCTTCATGGGTTTTCTAGTGCCCACTGAAGAGGGAAGAACACTGCATATGATGCGTGAATTCATCACGGGTGTATCTTCAGCAGAGCTCTTAAGACCTGTCTTAAACATCCCAACATGCTAAACCCAGGGATGATTGTGAAAAATCAGCTTTTTCTTGATGTTCAGCCTTCCCCAAAAGATGTATTCTTCTCTTTGCAAACATAATAGGAATGTGACTCAAGTCCTCCTTCCCTAGGCCTCAAATAAGCAAAATCTGGTGTTTAGATAGACAACAACATTCTTACATAAACCAGTTATATTTCTGACTTTGTAGAAGCTTTTGGAAAGCTTCTCAATGGGAGAAAGTACTTCTGTTATTAAAGAATTTATGATATTCCTGTTTTGATGCAAAACCAAGTTGATTCAGTGGAAGTTTTTGAATGGCTTTAGTCTGAGTTCTAAGATACTACTTTTGGGCAGGAGAAGAGTAGTAAACCACACTAGGCACTGCCCTCTGTTCCCCAACTTTAAAGCTTTTCTGATAATCCACATGAAATTTATGATGGTAATGGAATAAGCGTAATTCACAGGTAATAAATAGGGATGATTTATAGAGTTTCTTATGACTTTGATATTTTTGAAAAACATTTTTGTTTTGAACTAGTAATTCTGTATTTTGAATACGTGGGATTTTTTGCATATATGCTTCCGGTTTTCAGGCCTCTCATAGCATCTGGCTGTGTTTCCATTCAATTTTTCTTCCTGACATGCAAAATTAGACACACATAAATACTTTTTTATTCATAAGAGAGAAAGATATTTTAAGTAACATTGGCAGCTAGGCTGTGCTTTTTCAATGAAACTGTTCTGGAGAAGTTGACATTTCATAAACCTGAAATCGGGTTAAAGACTATCATGGAAAAGTCAGTATTGTACACATGTTTCAGTTTAATTATTCTGGTCCTGTGCTAATGAGATGTTTGAAAGTGTAATGAATAGAAATCCAATTTACTAAAATCTTATTTCTAAGTTGTTAGACTGCTAGATTATTCTAGTAGCACACACGAGGCTTAAATAGTTGTTAGTGTAGAACTATGATGCTGTTGTTCCATTCATTCTTATTCTGATTAACATTATATTTTTAGTAAAATGTCTTGAAGTTCTGTGGAGTTTTGCAGAATATTTATTTGTATATGTGTGACCGGCATGAAAGGACACAGCGCTGTATTCCTTGCTGATTTCAGCAAGGAATTAGACTCCATTTGAATGGAGGCTACATAGTCTGAAAGTATTCCTTACATTGGAAAGCTAGATCTGAATATTTGAACTAGAGCTGTCATCATAAACCTGAGCACTTGAGCATCAAACAATAGATGTCACTGAATTTATGAGAAATAAAGAGTTATTTATTACTATAGTGTGTTGCCTTTTGGTAAGCTCTCTCTCATATGCCTTTTATTAAACCAGGAGTTCCTAAAAACCTTTAAACTGAAAAAGGAAGAAACTTGGAAGTAACTCATACAGTCCTCATACGGAATACAAATAGAGGTATATGAATGAGGATGGAACAACAGAAAAGAGAGCTAAATGAAGGGATATGATGAATACATGGATTATTTCTACGACAACTTGTAACTCTACAGATTTAGCCCACTTGTATAGTACTTCAATCAGTAAGAGTAGCAGAAGCAGTTGATACAGTGTTTGGAACCAGACATTATGGGAAAACAGGAACACAGAGGTACCAAAGTAATGAATTAAATGCATTGGAACCAAAAAGGTGGTAAAATAATTTCATGTTAATGCACTAAAAACTGTTAAGGAGTAAAGACTGTTGAGCAATAGCGTGATAAAGACGTTAATTTTGAGGGTGAAGATGAGATAGTGTCTGCTAGAATGAAAATTATTCGGCAAAGGGTAGGAAAAAAGCTTCATGGGGATGCAATTTATTATGAATCTGCTGGTACAAATTTAATCTGTATAATAATGCCTACAAATACAGGAAAAAAGGGTAACAAGATCATATGATTATGCAGATTTTTGTGATTTCTCATAGGCAAATATCAGAAAAAAAATCAGCCAATGATGTTGGGGATGATATGAGTTTGAACACAGTAGAAGATAGCTTCTATGGAACAGACACTGAGCAAGTGAGAGGCAAGGATAACTTAGAATTTATTTTAGTTAATGATAGGATCTGCGGAAAAAAAACTGATGTCAGAAAATTGTCTTTAATCTGGTGGTTTTGAGCTTTTCCACTTCATGTGAAGTTGCAAGGCAGAAGAATGTGGAGGATCTATAACTGCAGTCTAGTATTAAAGAAAGGCAAACCGAGAAACAAAAAAGTTTAGTGAGATAGTCTTGAGGAGGATCATCAGAATTATTTTTCAGGTAAGGCATGATATTACTTTATGCAGAAAAAAAGAAAAAACAAACCAAAAAAACCCATCAAAGATTATTGAAAATTTACATTGGGGGAGAAAAATAACATCCCAACCCAAGAAAAAAAAAACAACAAAACACTTTGAAGTAACAGGGATGAAAAAGAATTCCCAGAAGGTAAAAATCTTAAGCAAGTTAATAAGGGCAAACACAAAAGCTATGAAGAATGAAAAAAAGATACTGATTAGCAAGGAGAAATCTGCATTAATAATAGGAAGGTATAAAACCAAACTGAGAATGCGGAGAAATCTTACTAACCAAAACTTGCACAGAAAATTGAAACAGTAAAAAAACTTCTAAAGCCATGCAAATAAAATGAGAACTGAAAAAGTGGGGTGGATGTTAGAGGATTCAGTGGGTATTAAGAATAAAGTAGGCCTGGACTAAATAATTACTGGAAAAGTTGCCTCTGTTTCTGGCAAGACTATGTATATAAATTTTTATGCATAATGAAAGTAGGAATAGGGCAAGAGAAATCACATCATCAGCATACCTGGTACTGTGTGACACAAGCATTTGGTCCAGAAAATTTCTGTCTTGGAGCGCTGAAACGGTCGACAGATGAACTGCAAGTCCAGAAGCAAGTCCAAAATTTCCAGTAAGTGTAGGCAAGGGGACAGTAGGTAATGAGAGGGGACATACTTGACTGGATACAAGTCTTTAGTGGAGTTTCTTAGTGACCAGTTTTGAGCTCAGTACTTCATAATACACTTATCACTGATTTCAGCATATAAGGCAAGCAGATCTGACTAGAGTTTGTAGACCATACAAAACTAGAGGTGTTGCTGAGAACCAGATAATCAGACAAGAAAAGTTGTATATATACTCATATGTATGTATACATGTATATATATATACACATACTTAACATATTTGTGTCTGTATTTATGTTGAGATACATATATATGTAAATATATATACACTGTATAAGCATTTATAAATTTATTGTTACTGTCAATATTTTACCATGACAATGTTTGTTTATAAATTTAATTAATTTGTATATATTTACTGTTTTATTTTGGCCTGGACTGAAAGGAATGGTGTGAATCTACAGACTCACGAGTGAAAAATTTTGCTGTAAAATGAGAAGCTCTAATTTTATACAAAATTCTTAAAATCTGAAGGTAGTGATCAATCAGTGACTGTATGTTGCCATTACAAATCAAGTACTGCTGTAAAGGGAAAAGAGAAATGTGATTCTACAATGTATTAGGCAGGGTTGTCCTA